TATTAATTTCGATATTACTAGAGCTCGACATGTTAAGTAATAATTGAGTAAATATATAAAGTGAATAAAAAGTCTAAATTAAAAAAATTCACATGTTTAGTGTAAAAAATATAATGACAGAATATAGCCAAAATTTCATTGATCAATTGTATACTATTCCTTCGTATATTTATATGCCTAATAATGTATTAAAAAAATATATCTCTCCACAAATTTTTTATGGGTGATGTGCTAAATGTCATCATTGGTATAAAGGATCAGTTGTTACTCATTTAAGACATCAACAATATTGTTATCGATATTTTAAAAAACAAGCTGTATTAATTATTCAGTGTGCATTTCGTTCATGAAATCAAAAATGAATAAATTCGGTCAAAAAAATTCAGGTCGCAGTAATTAAGTAACTTTATCGACCCGATGGATCATTTATAAAACAAGCCAAAGATCGATATTACCAATGAGCTGAACTGGATAGGTGATATAATAAGCCTCGAGGGGGGCGATGACATGTGACTAATTTTTCGTTTAATAAATTATATTTACCTAATGTAGGAAAGCAAGTCGGCCTACCCATCTGTCATATTTAATTTTTTCGTCTAGCTTAGAGAATTGTACGTTCAAATTTGAGACAGACTCTTCTGATCTTGAGAATGTATAATTATTTATCAAGTTATTAGTTATTTTTTTCGTGATAAAAGTAAGTGAGAATAGGTAAGTAAATAATTATCATATTGATTTTTGATTGGTTATATAGCAGAGTTAGTGTCAAGACACTTAAAACAATGTATACAAATTTACTTGATCTTATTCCGTCTGAATTGATATCATCTATTACAAAGAATCTTCCAATCCAAGATCTTAAAAATTGCTGTAGTCTAGATAATATATGGAAAACTGAAATGATTAAAGAAATTCGCAAAAGATTAATAGTGGACTGTACATTCATTGATAGTAAAACAACTATTAAAGCACTTATCGATCCCAAATCCCAGTATAACAGTATCAGTAAAGCACTTGCCAAAAAAATGGATTTATATATTTCTAGAGAATATGGATCAAGATATCTTGCAGTAATAGACTGTGATATTGGTGCAACAAATGCTGGCAAGAAAGTGATAAGGAGGGGTTGGATTGACAGAGAAAAAGTTTCCGTTACTTTGCCAAATATCTTTGATGATATAGTACCCCCTTCATATTTGGGAATAGATACAGCATATTTTGTAGTTGTTGACAAGCCTGAATACGACTTAGTTTTGGGAAGTACGTGGCTAATGAGATTAGGTGACAGGATTGATGAGCATGATGGAAAATACTGGGAGACTAATGAGGAAAAAAGGATATATTACGCAAGAAATAATATTGATATAGTATTCCTTTCATTATATACATTCTACGAATTATTATTTCCTAAATTTACCACAATTAATTCAGATGGAGAAGTTATATTAATCGAGTTTTCTGATCAAAATGTGGAGAATACTTCAATTGATCTAAGCGAATATTATGATTTAGAATATTCCGAAACGGAGTCTGAATTTAGTGATTCTAAGACTGAGTCTGAATTTAGTGATTCCGAAACTGAGTCTGAATTTAGTGATTTTATTTCTGTATTAAGATCCTTTAGGGATAATTCTTTGAATTATAGACTAGCATGATTATGTTAAACCTTTTTTCCAGATTTGAATCGAGTAAATGTGTGTATAGCGGAGCTAGACTCGGAGAGTCATTTCAAGGAAATAGTGTCATTGTCACATATGTATACGTGGAAATGCACCACCTGACACTTCTGGCATAATTTCGTTTTGTAGTAAGATATTTTAATTGCATTGATAAACCGCGATCAGGATAATCAGATTTTTTACGTATGACGTTACAAGTTTCTATTTTCCCGTGATCATGAGCATATGTTTGAGATAACGTGGATGCAAAGGAATAAGCACTTTATAGGTTAGATCCACATGTTTTTGTGTAACCCAATTTCTCACATATATCCTCATTCGCTGTTTTTTTTATTAATTTTAATGTTTTTTGCCGATCATAAAACTTGCCTTTCCATATCGATTCTGCTATAATAAACTTTCGGACGTAATGCTATTTCGAGTTGGGATATTTTTTTCGAGCAACGTATGAGTGAGAATATAGCTGAGAAAAGGTAGGTGTTTTCAGAAACTTATGTGAGTTATGTCTACCAATATCTCATGTCTCGAAACTTTCGCCCTAAATATTATTAAAAATTCGTCTCCTGAAAAAATTATAGATGAAGGTGATACCCCCGAACTGGATGCATGCTCGTTA